TTAGTTAATGCTTATTACTGCATCAACAAATGTTAGCAGTGTCGTTTAAAACTATTAATTAATGTATGAGGTAATACTTTACTTAACATGAAAAACATTAGTACATGATTAATAAATGCATTAGTTACCTATTAGTTAATGCTTATTACTGCATCAACAAATGTTAGCAGTGTCGTTTAAAACTATTAAATAATGTATGAGGTAATACTTTAACATGAAAAACATTAGTACATGATTAATAAATGCATTAGTTACCTATTAGTTAATGCTTATTACTGCATTAAGCACGGTTAATTAATGTACCCTTATTGTAAAGTGTTACCAATTATTCCAAGTCAAGCTCCCAATGCTAAATGGAAAGTGCACGGTGAAAACATGGAATATCTCACAGTAAGATGGCATTTTGATTTTGACTGCTGGACTTCTGGTTTCTCTCTCCATCTTAGTTTTCTCATGATCTTTGTCTCTCCCTGTCTGTCTGCAGCTTCTGTCCAGCTACCCTGGCAGCGTGCGGTTTCTCAGAACAAGGTTCCATATTACATCAAGTAGGTAGCAAGAAGTAACCCTGATAACTGTCTCTGTGCCTGTTGTATGTATGTGTGTTAGTGTTTGTCAGTGCATTCATGCCAACACAGTAAAAATGTTGCTGATTTAAACTTTAAAAAAATATGGTGGTATTTAATTTAGGTCCTAATGGCCACTGTGTTTTGTGTGTGTGACTCTTTATGCATTGTCTGTTTGTGACCCTTCATCACAGGCTCCATTGCTGTAGATTTTGAGCACTTGAATTGATGAGTGAGTCCAGCTAAGGCTGGAGAGAATTCAAAAAAATGAATATAAATGAACAGAACTTTGATTAGTAGAGTTTTTATTACCATGGTGATTAGATTTTGTGACCTCTTGTGGGGGTCTTGATTTGTCGGGGAATAAAAGTCCTGCAACTGAGTTTCAGGTTTGTAAAAATATCCACGAATAACTTGTTGAATATGTATTATGAGTAAGTTAAGGGCCATGGCCTCATGTCATCATGTGATCTTTAATGACTTGCATCTTTGGAATGGAAATTGATGTGTAAATTTTAAACTGCTGTAGTATGTCCTCTTTAAGCTACACGTACATGGGCAGTGTGGTGCTGATGTGGCTGAAAATAGTGTGATTTTGTATTTCAAAAACATTGTTCTGCAGGGAATCTAATACTTAAGTAATTTTAGTCTTTTTGCGTCAGAGCTCTGACCTCTCACATACTCATTTATATTATTTGCACATACATTAATTATTTTACTAAATAATAGTGAACTCTTTCTGCTGATTTGGTCCTCTGTGTATATTAAAATTCAAGCTGTCTCGCCTGCAGATTTCTAATTCAGTTCAACAGCAGCAGCTCCTTTTGAATTGGTAATACCTGGTGATTTCCAGGACAGCTTCCCACACTGTTCTAGCAGACACTGCAACAACGTTAACTTGACTTCTTGTCTCCCATTTAAATTTTTGCAACACTAAACCAAACAACAGTAGTAAAAACATATTGTCAGTCTGAAAACAACTAATTAAAAGCAGTTGATTCATTGTATTGAAACATATTGAAAGTTAATTCAGGTCAAGACATTTTTCTTCAGACAGACAAATACTCATAGATAGAAAATAGGAATCTCTCAGTGATGAAAGACAGAGACAGGCAGACTTGGAGGACAGGCTTATAACTTCAGAGTCACTCACACTGGATAGGAAACCCTTACACACACCTGAATATGCAAATGAATTCTAACCAAGCTCTAACCTGCAAGCCAGATAAAAACAGACATAGCTATGCTGCATCGATGTTTCCGTGGTGGTTGATGGCCACCATTGCAGCTTTCACATTAAACTGCTTCTCAGGATCAAGAAGAAGAGGATCAGTCATCCTTCAGTTTTTTTCTCGCAGAGTAAAAGTTTTCATTTATTTTAAAATGAAGATGTTCTGCTGTCCACTGGCCTCTCCACTTGCAACTACACACTGGTGCACACTCATTTGCAACTTGAAAACTGAGCTCTAAATGCTTCTCCAGGACTAATCGCAGGTCACATTCATTGCCATGAAATCTCTGGGACACCCACGTTCGTGTTTGACCCATTCCTTTCCCCAAAGGCCACCTCATCTCCTCTCCCATCTCCTTTCATCCGCTGCCTCTTTTCTTTGGGCTGACAAAGGGCCCTTGATTAAAACACTGCCCTGTCCACCCCCTGTAGTGAGGCATTCAGGTGACGTATTGGGAAAAATCAAATGGCATCACGCAAGTTCTGTGCCAACAGCCACATGCTGGTCACTTTACATGCTGCCCAATTTGACCTATTCTGGCACTTGAACAGCAACTCATAAGCCTTGTGCACTTTCTGAGAGGAAATATAGCAAGACTGCAACTCTGCAAGGATTAGGGAGTGTCTCCTCCATTCCAAAGCTTTTCTGGTTATATTCAAAGTTTTTGTCAAGAAACATTTCATGGAAAATTGTGTGTGTGGTTGGTTGTACCTAGTAGAGCGGATGGTCTTTATTTACAGGCAATTTATGAACAGAAAGGCAAAAAGAATCCCAACCTACTTGAGAATCCTAATAACTTTGGGAAGGAGGGTGTTATTTTTTTAAGAGCAAAAGAGAGGCACAGCAGAAAAGACAAAAGACGTCAGGTGGCAAATGCAGGCTCTTACCACCTGTCACAGACATTTCATGATAAGTGTGGCAGATTGGTGTCACAGAAAAAAAAAGTCCCTGAAGTCTTCCTTATGCTCATTCAGATATGTGACTAATTCTGTCTTTTTGGATATCCAGATAAGGTAGCTAGCAGTCATTCATCTGCACGCTCATGGTTATTTGTGGAGGTTGCAGAGTGTATGACAGTGACAAACACCCAGCAGCAAAGAGAAGTGTTGTGCGGTCTGTAGCCAGATGTGTGTTGGGATACAATACGTTCAGCCCAAGCTCTAGGATAGATATTTTTGTTGGTGTCTTGATTGTAAATGATCATTTTTCTTCACCATCTGATGTTTGTATTTTTACAGTTGAGTACCGGTCACATGATAGAACAGGGTAAACACGCCCACTAGCTCCGTGTGAATATGCCAGACTACTGTATATGCTGCTGTTTTATCACATGGCCTGACATGCACGGATTTCGTACTAGGGAGCTGGCAGAGTCCGCATAAGGTCGACTGACTCAGACATTTGCGTTTTCAGATACGGCTCCTGTGGGCATTATCTAGAGAATTTTGGTATGCATTTCCAGTGCATGCCCCTGTGGATAGGAGCGCTGTCATCCTCTTTAGATTTTTTCTTTAATTTGTCACCTGCCTTTATATATGTCTGTGTGTGTATATGTATGTACACTGTGCCAAGGTTCACTGAGGATGTTCTGCTGTATGTATCCCCATGTAGCTTCCAGACATCCACCATAAAACCTTTTGTTATTGTCCTTGCTCTTTAATATTTTCTGATGCCACTCCTCTCGCCTACCAATATTTCCCACTGTGAAATCTGAACGGAAACAGCTTTGTGCAAGCACTACATAGGGACTGTGATGAGGGGAGAGTGTTGAGGACAGCTGAACTTGACAACTCAGTTGTTCTCATTATGGCGTTCATGAACTGTGGATATAAGCACAAGCTGTTTAATCTTTCTGTTGATGGAAAAACAGGCTGCCATGTGGCGTGGATGTGTGTGTGCATAAATGCAATATGGACTTTTTGTTGTTTTGTGAGTGTTCTCTGTATCCCATAACTGTACCAGTTCTGTTTTGTCTGTGATGTGCTATTCTACACTTGAATGACAACAATGTTTTATGGTGATAGCTGTAAGCCAGTAGTGGCCTGTTCTTCCTCCTAGTTTTATGCTTATGGACTGTAAATCTCAGCAAATCTCCTGACTTGGATTCATCAAAACCCTTTGTCAGTTCAGGCAAGCTCTAAATAAAATACAAGCCTGTCTGCAGTGCAGGTTGGTCCAGGCATTAGCAACGCCTGTGCAGGTGTGAAAAATGCTGAACATCTGTGTGGCACCTGAATAGTAACGGACATCTGCGACTGAGGAGGGATCCCGTTGTCCGGTTCGCCACCTCAGTTCACTGCCAGCACTCGACTTCACTTCCTGCTGCCTGTCAGCAATGACTGAGCCATTTCAGAAACCTCAGAGAGCTTCTGCATTCAAAAACAGGCTTGCTTTTTTCTCCTTCAAAAACCACCGTCCAGAAATCTTCTTAAATATTCCACTGAGTACAGCTTCTGACAGCCAGGTGCCATCTTGAAACATAGACACACAGCCACATCATCAGCCAGCAGAGCTCAAATATATACACTGACTGGCAGCCACAGCTTGATAAAGGTCAGATTCTTTGCTGTACTGTGTGTCAAAGCAGCCACGTTTGATCACTTTTAGCACAGGTTTTATTTTATTTATGTTTATATTATTGATTTTTTTCAGTACATTTCGTTTGTTCATGTTTTGCGCATCTGTGTTTGTGTGTGAGACTTCTCTCTGAAGCAGTACTATAACAGGGAATTGAGACTTATGACAGATCCTGTGGTGATGAGAGGGGTTCACATTGTGTGTACTTGTGTGTGTCTTTTTATTCATTTGTGTATGTCTGTGTGTACCTTTTCACGGTACTTCTGTCTGTGATTGTGTTTTCTTTTATGATAAGCATTGAAAGTTTTAGGCACTTCATCTGTGTGTACGTTTGTATTGATGCCAGTGGCTCCTGTTCTGTTTGCGGATCAGCTTGTGTTTCTTTGTCTAATGGTTCTCCTCTGTTGTTTTGGTTTTTTTAGTCACCAGACGCAGACAACCTGCTGGGACCATCCAAAGATGACAGAACTCTACCAGTCTCTAGGTAGGAAGCACTCACAATCACAGATGGTGTCTTCAAGCACTGAGTGTCTGAGGTTATACTTTCAAAACTCTGAACCCGAGCATTGTGTTAAAAGTTGGTTCATACAAATCACAAAATATATGTTGGCAGTTACCTTGCGGTATCTAGATTTGTTTGCTTTATCTAAAATGTAAAAAAAAAAGAAAAGTAAAGTAAAATGATACCATAAAATTACAGAACATAACTATCTTCTAAAAATACATATTTTTAAATGCAGTTTTTATCTTTTAATTTTTTTAGTATTTAAAAGGTTTTTTTGTGTTAAAAAACAGATACAAACCTTTAAAGCCCAGGAATTTCCTTACATTTCTAGTGTTCCAGGTATTAAAGCATGTCATTTTTAAAAAATTCAAGTATGCGTGCAAGTATGTTTTTGATTTAATTAGTGAAATGTGACAAAATTAACATGAGAGGAAATGATCCCTCATGTTGCAAACTGCAGTTTGCATATTGTACAGTTGGTGAAACAAGCCCCAGGTCTTTTGAAGCCAGGTTTCTATTGGGGGACCAGCAGACCTATTTCTCACTTGTCTTGTTAGTTTACTCTTTACATATAACACCTAGACGTTTTCCTCTCTTTCCTGCCACCTGCTGATATCCACAGGCATGTTTCTGTCCCTATGGGGTGGCCAGTATGACTGTTCTTTAATGAGCAGCCAGATAAGTAATAAGCTGTGAAATTTAGGGAGCATGTGCTATAGGCCAGCAGCTCAACAAATAGCGCTGGGCCCCACTGAGACTGGACTCAGTAACCTAATTACATAGTCCACATTAGCACCCAGTCTCCCCTTGGTCATCTCCATAGACAGTAGGTAGCAGAAAACCAGCTTTCATTAAAGACAGGTTCTGTAAATATTGCCCAGTTCACAGATTTATGTTGTAGGTTGTTTTCTGATTTTTTGGCCTCTGTTTTCTTTTTGTCTTTCTACCTCTCACCTCGCTGTCTCCACCCCCGCCTGTAGCGGACTTAAACAATGTGAGATTCTCAGCCTACCGAACAGCCATGAAGATCCGCAGACTACAGAAAGCACTGTGCTGTAAGTAAGACACACACACGTACACCTTAATACCTACAGTCATGGTCCGCTTCCTTTTGAAAGGTGTGACAAATTAATGCAGAATAATGATTTGCAGCTGTGCCAGAACAGTTCAGGAGCCACGGATGTGGTCCACATGCTGTCTCACTGTGTGATTTTGTCCATGTATAGTCACAGATGGTGCTTGAGTCAAACCTGTTGAGCATAGCACAGCTAAGATTTGTTAGGCTGTGGTGTTTTTTTGTTTTTTTTTTAACCTTTTGATAGTTTTGAGCTCCCCTGAAAATATGATTAGCAAAATTCTGGTGAGTCTCTGTTTTTTTTAACCACCGTCATTAACTATCAATGATGCATAGAGGTCTTGAATTCATAGTGGTAGATTTCAACCACTGCTGCTTGTAACTGGGTTTTGAGGGTTAACTCAAGAATGAGGGAGCACTCGAAAATGAGGAGTAGGGGTAGTAAATAAGAAATGTCATTGGGCCTCTTGTTTCTCTCCACACCTCCATGGTGCTGTTGTATGCACACCACAAGCTATTTGACATCTGTTTTTCTATTCTTGTTATTCATATTCTTGCCAGAAGGAATAGTAATAAATACATCTAAATCACATGCTTTAATAAATGTTATATCTGTCATTTAGTGTGACCACGAAAAAGTGAGCTCCCCCAAAAGCTGTGTTATAGTTCACACATTGGATAAAGGCGGCTATTACCTACAGTCCCAGGTGGTTGTCAACCCCATTTACATACATACACACACACACACACACCTACCTGCATGCAGAGAGACAGGTGCATGCACATTTCTCCCTTGGGAGCTTTCAGCCAGCATGGCATCACCTACTCGTGCTCAGCATAGAAGAATAGTGGTGACAAATGTTAACTATTATCCAGCTGTTATAGCATCACTGTGAGCTCGCACTGCTCATTTACACCCTGCTGTTTGTGGAAGTTTGTTCTGTGTATGTGCATGAAACAAACAGATCAAATATACCATGCTTCATTTACTGTAGGGGTGTGTGTGCAGCTAAAGATGTGTGTGCCGGAAAAAAATCATGTGTTATTATCATTGTTGATTGTTAATGAGTTTGAGTGATTCAGGCATTTAAGTTTTGCTATCTCATATTGTCTCTCTGATTGCACGCATGAATGTGTGATGGGAATGCATTAGCCTGAGTGATTTCGACTTGGGGCGCTGCAATTCAATTTCATCCTTTATATTAGAACAGTCACATTATGAACACATACACATGATCATGTGCACAGCAGATGGATCAGTAGTTATTAGTTATTAGCCTGGATTCATGTGGAATCTTTGCTTGGAGACCTGTGTGTGCCTGTGAGTGTTTGTGGTTGTGTGTGTGTGTGTGTGCAGTTATGTGTGTGTGTGTGTGCAGTTATGTGTGTGTGTCAGAGAATGACACGCGTACATGACAGATACTACTGTATAAAATAGCTAATTGGGTTAAGTCTGTGCCGGGGGCTGGAGAAGCACAAATGAGCTTGTGTGGCATGCCTCTAATGTGCCACAGCCTCTCAGCTGCTGTGTGTGTAGTGGGACAAGTACAGTTCTACTTTCTGACAGCATGGCTGCCTTGCTGTGTCTGCGCCATGGGAACACACCCCAGTAATTAGTGTTGGCTGGGGAACATGGCATACCATAAGGCATGGAGCTGCGGAGGGTGGTGACAGTGACGGGTCAGATGGGGGAACTTACTGTATATGAAGAGAAGAGGTGAGAAGGATGAGAGCTGGAGAAGAGGGAGCAGAGTTTAGCTGAGGTGGAGGGCCAGAGGAAGATTTGCAGACAGAGCAGCTCTGAGGGTTGATGCCTCTTGAAAACCTTTACCCATTGTTTCACCCATAACATTTTTTAACCTTTTTGTATTTGTTCAAAAAATGTGAAGCAATGTAATGTTATAAATACCCTGAATACTGTATACTTCAGATGTAGGCTTGTGACTTATATTTTAGTGGTAATGATCTACATCTAGACTGGAATGGCTTTCATTCTGCTCATGCTAATTAACCACCTGTAGCGGACTGTACACTGTGTATTTGTTTTACCACCTAGAGCTGTCTACGTGTTTGAAACAGAGATGGCGTTCACTGGTTGTACTCTCCAGTGGACCTTGAATGGAACATTAATTAGAAGTCCCATCAGGATCTGAGTTTGCCCTTAATAGGTACAGTATGTAAATTCATGTTACACTGTGTCCTTGGAGCTATTAATTGGACCTGTGTTTTGAGTATGCAGTACTTTCACTTGTAGTAGGTTGTTTTGTCTCAGATTTGTTCTTCCACTCTTCAAGGAGTGCTAGTATCTTGACATGAGACAGATTAAGGGAGACTGTTGGAATAGAAAAGGTTAAAATGTCACTCTACAAGCAGGTTTTTTTGCTTGTTTGATGAAAATAATGTTTTATTCTATATTTCAGTAGAACTTGATGAGGATGTCTTGGTGTTCAAACACTACAAATACCACACATTTTTAATTAACCACCACTGTGTTTGTGTGTGCAAGTGTTTTGTATTTTATTCATATTTCAGCTATTTGTTTCATCATCTGGGTGTGTTTTTTATGTTTATGCAGCTGGTAACTTCATTTAGTAGTTTGCCCCAAAGGACTCAAGTAGTTTTTGTTAAATTTTCTTTCTCCTTTTTCCAGTTTGTCTTATTCTCAAGACACATAAGTGATAGCTACACTACAGAAGATGATGAAAGTATAATTGACATACTGATATAAATATAACATTCCCTCTTGTCTTTATTATTGAACATGTATCCAGCAAATCAAATCAGGAGAAACTCGACTGCTCTGTCAGACTTTCTTACTTTTTTCCTCATTTGTCTCTTTGTCAGATTTATGTAACCAAAAGCATCTTTCTGTTCTCTGCCTGTACTCTCAGTAGACTCTCTCAGTTCATTGTTTTGAACTGTTTTGGACAAAAATATGAGTGAAGTCTGCAGTGTTGTAGCGTTGGAAACATTGCTAATGCTCTAAGTCGCTCTTTTTTTCCCCTGTCAACCCTGAACGGATTTCTTGTTCCTTTTTCTTTGTTCCTTCTCACTGTTCTTGTTAACCTTTTTCTGTTCTCCTCTCTGTTTCATTTCTTTGTTCCAATCATCTTCCTTTCTGTCTTCTCATTGTTTCTCTCCTACTCTGTCCTCTGTTTCCCTCTCATCTTGCCCACTCCTCTACCATTCTCACTTCGATCTCCTTCCTGCCTTCTTCATCTGCAGTGGACTTGCTGGACCTCAGTGTGGCCCAGAACACCTTCGAACAGCACAAACTCAACAACAACAATCAGCTGTTGTCCGTTCCCGATGTCATCAACTGCCTGACATCCATCTACGACGGCCTGGAGCAGGAGCACAAAGACCTGGTCAATGTGCCGCTCTGTGTTGACATGTGTCTGAACTGGCTGCTCAATGTTTATGACACGTATGTATACTTTATGTTTTGCAGTTAGGATGGAAACTTTCAGTCATGAATGTGTCACACGTTTTTACAAAACCTGGGAATCATGCATGTTTCCACCTGCATTTTTGAAAATGTAACTGATGAATGCAATGAGAAATGCTGTAATGTTTTTATTTATTCAGTTGCTTGTTTACTCATTTAAATGTGCTATAAAAACCCAGTGTCTAAAGTATCTCAAACCAGATTTTTACACTACATATTCTGCATTTGTCATCCATTAAAATGCTCTATGCACCAGATTTCCATCATTGCTGTTGCATATAATTCAGATCTGCAGTGACTTTAACACACATAAACACACTGTATATATACGAACATGAAACCACAATAAGTATAACGAGTAACTGCCACAGCTGATTTGCATATGCGTGTGTTGTCCCTGCAGTGGCCGCAGCGGGAAGATCCGCGTCCTGTCCATGAAGATCGGCTTGCTCTCTCTCTCCAAGGGACACCTGGAGGACAAATACAAACGTAAGTGGCACTAAGCTGTTAAGATATACAGTATGTTGCTCTATTCATGCACCACTGTCCTGCCCCCCTGTACTGGCCAGTCTGAACGTCTCATACTGCTCCAGCACAAGCTGTAATTCTACCAGTGCTAGTCTAACGCACAGTAAAGGAGTGAGAGGAGCTCGAGAACGAGTTGTCTAATTGGATGAGAGACCTCCTACATGTTTCCCCTGTTCGTTATTTAAATTTCCATTCTGATTTATTTTTGAGGATTAGGCAGTGTGAATGTAGGCTTGCTGCACTGGGAACAGACTGTCATTTAGGCTTCCTGTTCTTTGTTTCTGTTGCTTTATCTCACGCCATCTGACTTCCTTTGCTCTCACTGCTCACACCTTTGTTTGTCCGTCTATTACTTGTGCTTCCCCTTTTTGCCTCTTCCTCTTTCTCCCTTTCTCTTGCCATGGCATGGACCCCATCTCTGAGCCTATTTGTTTCACTGGCAGTTTCTATTAGCCTGAGAAGAGCATCAAGCTCAGTTGATTGCATCCTTCCTCCTTTCCTTTTTGAGACTCTCATTGGCTGTCAGCCTTCCCCAAATAGCTACATGGTGACACACACACCCACACACCTAACCAGTCATGCTGCCATTTGACACTCTTCTTGTGACATTTGCTTATGTCAGATGTAATCTGGTAGCAGAATGTTGTACTGTAAGTTGGAGATGTGGGATTGATCAGTCAGAAGCCACAAGGAGTGTGTGTAGGAACACATTATTGACTGAATTTGCACTTTTTCAACACACACATTTGTATTCATTCCTTGTGGGAACTTGACATTGGCTTACATTCATTTCCTGGAGACTTGTACGCTAACTATAACCACTGCTAGCCTAACTCTAACCCTTACCCTAACCTTAAACCAAGTGTCAACATAAAAGTCAGTGATCTAGTCCCCACAGTATAAGTGTGTAAACAGGTTGTGGTCCTTACAGTGTGAGTAATACCAGGCACATACAAACACACACACACACACATACACACACAGGCACTGACACTCATGTAACAGAAGTAGGCATCAGGGCCGAAGTTCCCACAGAGATCAAAGTCAGCTGCAAGCAGAGCAGAAAGGTCTGTCACAGTCTCTGTTTCTCCCTCTGCCTCCTCTTTTTCTCCAGATTACCGTCTCGTCTCTCTTTTCTAAGTTTGTGCATGGTTTGTGGAGATGTTTCATAAAATCGTCTAAAATATAATGCCGTCCACATGTTCACTGTCCAAGCCTACCTGTCACTGGGCATGCATCCATATTGATCACAGCTTTGTCAGTCTCAGTGAGAATGTCATGAAAACTTGGCAGGAGGGAAGATTGCGAGATTAGAAATGCATGTTTTTCCTGTGTCCTCCCAAATGCTTTCCACCCACAGACTGTGTATACTGTACTGGACACACATCAAGACTTTCCCTCCCACTTCTCACTAAACTGTTACTCTTTCTCTATTTACATCTAATTGTGTCTTTCATTTTAAAT